AAAATCAAGTAAGACGCACCTCCAAAGCTTGCCGGAAGATGCAGTTTTCCAGTGCTAGAAAACCCTAGATGGCCTTAAAGGTCTATTGTCACCCCTAATGATAAAAGTCTTAAAAACATGGTGCAGATCAAGCAGATCTATAAACACTTAAAAAATATTGAAAATGGAATGTCCAAATAATACATTAGAAGATGCACTATTTTTAAGACTTGAAATGCTTGTCTTTTTCATATCCATACATCTTAAGGTCAAGGTAATCAATCAAAGAGTTTTCAAACATTCTAACAACATTTCCAGCTCGGTTTTTGAAGTATGCCTTAATTTTATAGTATAAGGTTGATACTATGAAAAAGGTTTATATAAGGTTGCAAACCTCAGATGTAGAATTAAGGTGCATCTCAAAAATCCATCATAAAAGGTTGTTTTGATGTTGGAAAATCGTCTAATTGATCATCTAGACATCGAGATGTATGAATATGAAAAGAACAAAAGATTTCGAGACCCAAAAATAGGGTATCTTGCAAAACTTTATCTGGACAGTCCATTTTCAAGATTTTCATGTGTTATAGATCTACTTGATTTGAACAATTTTTAGAGTTTAAAATTTTATAACTAGTGATGAAAATAGATTCTCAAGCCATCATAAGAATTTTTTATACCAAAATTACATTTATGATAAAATTTGAGGTGCGCCTTAATTGGAAGGTTGCAACCTTATTCCAACCACACTCTACACACACATACACAATAGGTTATTATCTAAAACGAATAGTAATTTAGGTCATGCCCCTAGCCATCAGATCTTTGATTGGATGGTTGAAAATACATGCTACTACTTCAACTTTATTATTTCTTCTCCAAATCTAATCACGATGAAATTTTGTACATGTGTAACACAAGAAGAAAAGTATAAAACAATTATTTTACAAAGTTTAAAACTACCCTTGAAAATTGACAGGGGTAATTTGTTCATTTTAAATTTTGAAAATTATGTTTTTGAATTCAAGTTCATATGGCTAAATTTTTTTATTAAACTGATTCATAGAAAGAAGATTAAAATTCAAGTAGCAAAATGTATTTTCAACCATCTGATCAAGATCTGATAGTTTAGAACATGGTCGAAACTACCTATTGTTAGCTATGTAGCTTTATCCTTTATGTATATATATGTGTGTGTGTATGTGCGTGTGTGTGTGTGTGTGTGAAATATATATAATGGGATTGTATACAATGAGACCATTTACCTTTAGTACAAGGAGGTCACAATTACTTATAACCATCCGATGTAAAATCTAATAGGTTGGGTGTCACAAATTTCGAGAAATTTCCTTTTGAACTTTGAGTTTGGTCAATGGAATAAATGCAACCACCCAATTTCACATTCAATAGTCAACATTAATTGTGACCATCTTATACCAAAGAGAAATGGTCTCATTGTATAATCTTCTATATATAATGGTGCAAGTGTTATGAGTTCGAGTGGTGTAGTAATAGAGGGAGAAAATGCTTCAATAAGAGAGGGGAGAGATACCAACATACTACCCATATCTAAATGTCAAAGGAACCATGGAACAATCAAGGGACAATTGGAAGTTGAATATTCAAAAGAACAAGGAAATGACATTTCGTTGTCTTATGTACAAAGAAGGCCATCAGAAGTCATCCTGATGAACCCCAAGGAGCATTAGCATCACTCACTAAAGAACCAATACCAAGCTGCAGCTCATGTAGCTGGAAATCTTCCCCCATTGAAAGCATCCTCTATTCTCAACCTCCACTTAATGAGGCAACATAATACACCAAGTTACCAATTTCTGAACACCATCAAGCCAATCACACTGTGGTCCTGAGGACTCTAGATCATATCAGAGGTTATCAAATCCAGTAACCCAACATCTCATTACCTGGAATATATGGGCGCTGAAAGACCCTGAAAAATCCCCTTAGTCAGAAAACTAATTAGTAAACATTCACACTCCAAGTGACTAACCTATAAACTAAAGATTGGGGTCCAAGCCATTCAAGCTTTTTCTCCATGCAGTATGACTATCCAGACTAAGAGAAAATAGTTAAGAGTGCTGAGCACAAAACTTCAAAGTCGTATGCCAGAAGTGATCATTGACTAAGACAGCCTTGAAAGAATAGTCACCTATGGGTTGGATCACACCAGAATTAATGAGCAGGAGGGTAAACTTATAACCTTCAAATTGAGCTTGAAAATGACCCAGGGTCCAAAACATAAGCAACAAATCTGAGGTATGAATCAACTATCCCAAGTTCTGTTGAATGAGGTATCCGTTTGGAAACAAAAAAACAGATAAAATAGGCTCAGTCCAAGGGATTCAAGCTCAAACTTCTTTTTCACCAAAATCACTGCCAGAAGACGCATTTCTACCATCTTTAGGCTTAAAAAGAAGGGAAAATATCTCCATGCACCATATTTTTAGGTTTCCTTTCTTTCTAGACCAGGGGTTTTAAAACCTATCTTCTAATCCCCTAGACCAATTTTAAATTTTTACCCATCTTTTTTGTCCAAACAAATTAGAAAAAGACCTCTTTTCTAAACCCTCTCTCTACGCACGTTTCTTTTTCTAAACCCCCTCTCTCTCTCCTCATGAATCTCCAAACCCTCTTTCTCTCTCTCCCCATGAATCTCCAAACCCTCTTTCTCTCTCCCCGTGAATCTCCAACCTCTCTCTCTAGTACTTCCCCCAAATCTTGGGAAGCAAGGCTTCTTTCTCTCTGTCCATTGCAACATGGACCAGCAGAGCTCATTCCATTGTGTCGGCCTCTTTTTGGGATACAAGAGAAGGGCTCTATCTTCGCTGTACAGTATGAATTTGCGGCAAGGTCAGAGCGGCTAGGGAGTTTGTGAGCCAACTAGGGAGAGAGAGAGAGAGAGAGAGAGATGGTATTTTGCTTTCTTAGAGAAGAGAGATATGGTATTTTGAATTTTGGTAGAGGGAGAATGGTATATTCCTTTTCTGGAGAAAGAGTGAGTGATTGCTCTATTGAAGAGAGAAAGAAAGTTGGGGAAGTACGGATAGAGGGAGGGGTTTGGCGATTTAAGGAGAGAGAGACACACAAGGAGAGAGAGTAGGGGTTTAGACTTTATAAAAGGATGTAATTTTTAAATTTCTTTGGGCGAAATAGATGAATTAAAAATGGGTAAAATTGATCCAGGGGGTTAGAAGATATGATAGATAAAATCTCTATGCCCGAAGATAGATTTTGAAACTTTGGGTCTATGAAGAAATGAAACTTAAAAATAAGATCTATAGAGATATTTTCCCTAAAAAGAATGATGGTTCTATCATTAGATCTGATGACAATACCATCTATCAGAACCTAGAAGGAATGCCCCTCGACAACCACCCTATAAATGCAAAAACCCTATGGATATTAAAGAGAACAGCAAACTTGAAAGAGCAATAAAATGTGAAGATATATTTGCTCCTATCAAGACTCTCCTCAAATAAATAACCTCAACCAGATGGTTCCCTGGCAAGTTCCTTCCATAAATGTTGGACAATACTCAAGAAATATGTCCTGTGTCATGACCATCTTATACAAGGGTGTTACTCAAAAAGTACTTGGGTTCTATATTCTCTTTTTGGTTCTCCTAGCCCTGGCCAAACACACCAACCATGAGGCACACTCATAACCATAGTCATGACTTGGAGGTGACCCTCACACCTCTGCAAGAGATTTCTCTCTCTCATTCATTGCCTCATGTACTCGGGGTACATGATTCTAGGCCCCAGTGCGCCAAGCATCCAGAATCATTCTTTCTCACTCACTCCCACTGAGCGAGAGAATCTTAGCTTTAAGGCCTTGAAAGGCCATAAATCCAACCTGATACCTTTCCCGCTTCGAGTTTGAACACAACTGAACAAGAGGGAATATGTCCAAGTACATATGGCTTCTACTTATCTAAAGTACCAAGCATGACTGCAAAATTCTTTTCTTTCTATTTAATATCTGGTTTCTCATTGAAACAGAAGAGTGTCACTCTATCCTTAGACCTTAGGACATAGTTCCAATCTTATTACACTTAACTTTCCTTGGTGATTGAAACACGGATGGGACCCCTGCTAGGATAAAGAAAAAGGTCTGCTATTAAAATATTTCTCATATAAGTTCCAATTTCACATAAATACACCCATGATGAACAATGTTTCAATGAACAAAGTCTCAGACATCACAGAAGCTTATGTTGCAGATATGATAATATTTTGGTAAGCTGGTCAATACGCTATAACAAAGTGAGATTAAGATGTTGAAGTCCACTAGATCATGTTTACATTATAACTATCGCATAGTGAATAAACACACTCATTGACCCAAGGATCAACGTTTTAGTATATGTAATCGAGTGCAGACAGGTTTACCTGGTTTATAGAGATCCTATATGCTCACAACTAGAAAAAAATGCAATTAAAATTGTATAGCATAAATGCCAATGACAGCAAGCATCAATAATGCAATGGTTGTGTAAGATCACAGCCAAGATTTGATATTGTCAAGTCAAATAAATAACATTGGGTATAAGGGACAGCCAACAATAAACTCCATAATTTTCAAGGTGAAAGAGCATACTTGTATCCACTGCAGGAGACACGATATGCAAAATCTCGTGTTGATGAATCTTCAAACCCAAAAACATCAGTCAAAAGGAGCACCCCCATGCCATTGTTGTTTTTCACAGCTTTCAACAAATAAGCACTAAAACTATTTGTACCTTCCCCTAAAAGAAGCTCAACTCCACTCACTAGTTCACATGCATCATCTTCAAGAGCCTCCGATTTTACTTGGTTCTGAGAAACATTACTTGTCGAATTTGTTTTGAAGGATAACGGGGGAGTACAGTACAATCTGGAACTAATCTGAATATCAGCTGCTTAATTAATCAGTCAAAATAAGCATTTTTAGGCGAATCCGTATATACAAAAAAAAGAATCAAAAGAAGAGTACAAAAACATAAATCAATTACAAAAATAATTAGGTTACGAGTTAAACATAAAAAGAACCTCAGATAAATTACATCCCATAGTTCACAAGATTCTATAATACCACTTCTTGCAGAAGTAAGTTCAGCCCAGAACATAAGAATAGATACAAGAAATACATCCAATTTGTGTGACAAATCAATGAGAATTTCAATTTAGATTGCATTAGATAAACTTGATAGCTTCCAGGAGCAGTATTTGCATGCATAGGGAAAGTTATGGTTACTACTCAATGTAATATTATTGATGCTATTATAGAAAACCTCCAATAGCCGATCCCAAATAGTTGGGATAAGGCTCGGATGATAATGATATAAAACCTCCAATAGCTGTTAAATAGATTAAATTCAGCAGCATTTAATTCATTTTACAAATGAGTGTATTATTGTAATGTCTCACACCAAATATTGAGTATGGCTTAATTCAATCTTAGCCGCAACGATTACCATCTACTCAAAAAATGATAAAGATTTGACTCTCTACTCCAAAAATGATAAAGATTTGACTCCAAGACATTTATTTTAATCTAACCCACTGAAATCGCACATCCTAAAACGTTCCAACCTATGTTAGAAGGACACGAATATGAGAATCTGTCTATCTCGAATTTGAAGAATAGACTCACCTACCTATATTTTACCAAGTCCAGTCCGGCATGTCCATTCAAGTCCGGACAATGCATATGTATCTATATATATTTCATGTATATAAAGATAATTCAACAAGTGGATCCAGATCAAAGACATGAGGGTCTACCTCATACGATACGTCTGCCCATGTATGTTTTATGAAATGGACATGTATTGTAAAGCGGACAAACATGGACATGCGGTCCTCTTCACCCAATCCGTGGATTCGGATATCCACATAGCTGACACACAAGTCAAAGACATCGATTTTTTGTGTCAATATGCATGTAGCATGTATTGCATGTCAACACAAGTGTCTAGTGCATTCAAGTGTTTAATTCGCCTAAATGCAGGTGACACACCGGTCGTTGTTACATGGGTTTCAACTGGGAGATCACCTTCAAATATTTATGTTTTTATTTTTGCAATTTTTCCCCAAAAAATAGTGTATTTTATCGTATGTGTATAATTATTAGCGTTTGAAATGGATTCTATCAATCACTCCAAGAATTATGATTGTCCCCTTCATATGCATTTAATTTCCGAACTACAGCATTTGTTTAGTCTCCTTTTCTTTTCTTATTTTTTGTTTAAATATTTTCAAGAAAAATCCAGCCATCACTTACTTAAAAGAACAAAATTTCATATGGATTTCCATGAAAAATTGAAAACCGTTTACCATTTCTTCTTAGGCGGGCATGAGCTGAGGCGAGATGGGAATCTGGGTGGAACAGGGTAGAGAGATACCCCATTGAAACATGAAAACGCAAGCAATTGAAAGGACACATTGAGATAGAAATAACGTAGCCGTACTTTTGTTAACTGCATACATAGCGCGAAATCATGACTACATAAAAGGTTGCACTCCTATGAGTAATCAGATGTGCCATTATGATTTTGAGCTTTGAAAATCAGTTGCTGCAACCAACATTATCCTTGACGGGGAAAAATTCAAACAATATATGCATGCTCCACCATGATTGCACTTCGACAAGGATCTAAACCAGCAACCATCATCTTTTTCGAAGCAAGCAATTACGTTTTACTATGCATGCCATACAACACATAATTCACAATTTTTCTAAGACAAGCCCATGATTCTTTCCAAAACTAGCCCACAAGATAAAGGGACCATCCTGTCACAGATTTTACTTCACCAGTAAGCATCAAATTTAAGATTCAGAAAAGACAATTGAATTCCTCTAATGGTTTCTGCATGACGCAACATCTAAGTCGTTATAAAAAATTAACCGAAACAAAATGGTAGTCCAAATCTCTAGGTTTAATTCAGACCTTGCTCAAACATAAATTGTACATCTACAGGTCTATACCATTCATCAAGTTGACCTCAACACACTTCTTAAATCGTGATAGATATTGAAGATATACGAGAAGAAACATAAACAGGGAAACAGATGATTTTCTGTTAGCTGAAAAACATGAAATAGACCCCACTGGATTTTAAATTCCTGGAAATTTTCATCAGAGAAAAAAAAGAAGTAACCCATTTGTTAAAACAGTTTGTTACAAGTAAACATAATAGAATTCAGAGCAAAATGCAAGGAAGTAAGACGCTTACAGAGGGTAGAGAGAGATTAACCGGAAGAGAGTAGAAGAATGAGGAGAGAGGAGGGTCTCTGGCAGTAGTGAGGTGGAGGAGGTTATTGAAGGGGGAGAGCAACGCCATTTCGGTTGACAGCGGAGCGAAAGAGAGGGGCGGGGAAGGGGGCGGAGGAAGATATTTTATATGACCCGCCATTGTTTTGGGGTAATCTCAACCTCAACCTCAACCTCTAACTCGTGATAAAAATCCAATTGGGATGAGGTTTTCATAAGTCCTAGCCTTTATAAAACCAAAATAGAGCCTCACCTCAAATCATTGTATGGAAGGTGCTTGTGGCAAGGAAATCTTCATAACTGCTCTAAAATCAATTTTAACACTGACTATAAAATATAAAACTAAAAAAATGGTACAGAACTTGAGAATTAATAACACTTATTATTTTGGCCAAAATAGACGATCTGGATAATTTGTTATAGGAAAAAGTTTATATAAGGTTACAAACTTAAAATGTAGAAGTACAGATGCATCTCAAAAATCCATTGAAAAATGTTGTTTTAATGTTGAAAAACTAATTGATCATATCTACAATAAGATGTATGAATATGAAAAAAGAAAAAAGATTTTGAGTCTCAGAAATAATGCATTTTGCAGCACATTATCTAGACCATCCATTTTCAAGATAGTCATATTTTTATAGATCTATTTGATTTTAATCATTTTTGTAGTTTAAAATTTTATAATTAAATATAAAAATAGATTTTGGTATAATCCTAAGAATGCTTTATCCCAAAATTACACATTACGATAAAATTTGAAGGTGTGCCTTAATTGGATTGTTGAAGGTTACAACCTTATAGAAACCGCACCCTTTATTATAACGTACACAACATTTAGAGCTTGAAATCCTAAATTTTTTCACAACCATAATGTTCAAGCAGAGACGATTGATGTGAAGGTTTTTTAATGCTTGAATTGTAATTTTCGATGAGTTATGAGGTATGGCTTCACTTAATTTGCTTGGGCTGCAGCCCTATCAAACAATTTTCCTCTTTATATTGATGGTCTCCACTTGAACATTATGGTGTGAAGCAAATTAGGATTTCAAGCACTAAAAAGAACATATATTGTAATAAATTATCTAGACAGTCTATTTTGCTATAAAATCAAGTGTTCACAAATCCGCAAGATCTATACTATTTTTTGAGTTTCAAATTTTATTGTCAATGTCCGAAATTGATTTTAAAGCCATTATAAAGATTTTCGTCACCAAAAGTACTTTCTAGCTGAAGATTTGAGGTGTTTTCATAAAGCTTAAGCCTTATAGAAACTTCCGCTTTTATTTATTATTTTTATTTCATTTGTTTTTTGCCAAGCCCCGTCTTAGCCCTACAGGGTGTGGGGAGGACAAGGCTGACCCGGCCCGTTCTAAAAAAAGTGGCTTAAAATCGTCGTCCTCCTTATCAGGTTCTGCTTTGGATTACAAGAATTGGGCATGAGATATGGAAACCAAAAAAGTGGTGTGGAATTTTCTTATTTTTCGGCAAACAGATGATTTCAGACCGAGCCATTGGAAGTACATTAATTTTTTTTTAGGAAAAGGTTTCTATACTTCCCCTACAGCATAGAAGAACTATGCTTCCCCTACCATCCAACCGTCCAATTTTGATTAAGAGAGCCACTCACCATTTGATCTTAAATTTGACATCTCCAAGTATTTAATTTTTAATTTTTTTATACAAATTTAATGAACATAAAATTTAGTACGTACCATCTTCTCATTGGGGCTCACCTATAAAAAATATTAAAAATAATTTTTCGATAAAATATAATGACCAAAATACCCCTTGAATCTTATAGGGGTATTTTGGTCATTTTATTTTATTGAATTTTTTTTTATATTTTTTTCACTAGTGCGAGTTTAATAGAGGATTGGACGTCCAAAATTTGGGGTCAAAATAATTTATAAAAAAAATTTAAAAACAAATAGTGTAGAGACGTGACATTGTGATTGGGACAATCTTAACCCTCCATTCAGAATGGACTGTTGGATAAGGGGAAGTATATAAGTTTTATGTCGTAGGGGAGGCTCTTTTCTTTGTTGAGCCTCCATCCACTGTTTTTTTGTTTCTTTGCTCTTGTTTTTATTTATTTATTTTCAATTGCAAGTGCTTTATATCCACCGAAATTGATAAACCAAAATTTGGTGGTTTCTCTCATTTTGAGCTGGGTGCAATTGATAATCCATCGTTTCTTTGGGGCTTAATATTTGTAAAATACTCTAAAGCAAATATTTCACTTTGATTTGTTTGAGTTTCAAAATTTCAAGTACGTCTTCTATCTTTGACAAAAAAAAAACAGTTTTGAATATGTAACGATGCCTTATTTGGATGAGAATAGGGCATTTTAATGCTAGAACGAGTTGTTATATACTGATGAACTGATAGATAATGTATTTTAACTGACTTATACATTTTTCATCTGAAAAGTTGAGGAATATGTCAATTTTTAATTTTAGCATGGATTTTTTTTTCCAATTTACATTTCCTTTATTATTAATATTAATATTAATATTAATAATAATAATAACATTATTATTATTATTATTATTATTATTAATTTCATGCTTGTTCTTATTTTTTTATATAAATTATCCATGATTTACCAAGAAATATTGTTTTTTGTGTTATTTATTTGCGCTATATTGAGCATCTTCTAATGTTCTATGTGTGCTATCTGTTGTTTTACTATTAATCTCCCTTATTTATTCCATATTTTTTTAAAAAAAAATTTGTATTTTGAGGATTATTTGCAAAAAGCAACCTTGTTATAAAACTTGTAGTGGAATAGAAATGCTCAAAATGTAGAACAATATGAAAGTGCTGACAAACCATCAACATCATTATTGTCAAAACCTTTTTCCAACTAATTAGGGTCAACTACGCAAATCATGGTCAGACATTCTGCTCTATTAATGGTCATGCCTTCAGTGAGGCCATAAAGTCCCATTATATTTTTCACTACTTTCAACCATATCCTTGTAGGCCTACCCCTTGCTTTTTTTGACAAATTGGTGACAAAAGAAGGTGAAAGAGATGTTTTCAAACTAGTAAAAATTAGAGAGACATGGTCATCAAAAAGTAGAGAATTTATTTTCAAAATTGTTAAATGATGACTACAATGAGAGACCTTTGACATAAATAAAGTCAGAGGTTATAGAGATATCTGTAGGATCAGGATATCTAAAGTGAAAGAAGCTTTGAGAAAAATGAAGACAAAAAAGACCTTAAAATCAGATTGTATCCTAACAGATGATTAAAAGTGCATAGGAGAGATTGACATATTTTGGTTAACCAAACTATTTAACAAGATGTTGAGAATAAAGAAAGTACCATATGAGTTGAGAAAAAGTATTGTGGTATATTTATTAAAACAAAGCAAAAATATAGAATAATACAAACTATCGAGGGATCAAACTTAGAATCCATACTATGAAGCTATGAGAGAGAGTAATTGAGCAATGACTATGACATAAAATGATAGCATAATTTTTTTTTTATATGGAAGTCAACAAATGGGGTTATTTCCCTACTTAGACAATTGATTAAGAAGGTTAGCGAGAAGAGAAACAACTTACACATAGCATTTATTGATTTAGAGAAAAAATATGATAGGGTACCTAGAGATTTAATTTGATGGATGTTAGAAAGAAATGAATCTCTAGATGATATATTGACATGTTTATTCTCCTAACGTTTGTGTTGTCAAGGTTTCAAATCTAATCTCTACGTTATTAGTCAAAGCCATCAATTGGCCCCAAGGCTATAGAAGAGGTCAATTACTTTGTCGAAATATTTGAGAGTAAGTAGATTCAAAGCTAAGAGCATCAATTGTCTATGAAGAACTTTCCTTCATTTTGTGAAACTTTTCTCTCTTAGCTTCTTTATAAACGGATGCACTAGGGACATTTGCAACTCTTAAAGTCTTCCTTATGCATCATTTCTCATTTTTGTAGTTTTAATAATGGAAAAAGTTTTTATAA